TTTTTTTTCTAGGCGGCGGGAGAAGTAGATTGAAGCCAGTTGATTAGGGTATTTAGCTGTTAACTCTTGAACATGGGGTTCAACTTGTGCACATTTCCACAAGTACATATAAGAGATTTTATTACAAAAATTTTATTACATAGTTCAGTGTAGCAAAACATGGGAAACAATGTCAATGACAATGAATAAGAGAATTAACAAAACTATAATCTTTTTATACAGTAGAATGCTACACAGTATTTAAAATGAATAAACAGCACTTTATAAAATACTGTGGATACACCTAAAATCATACTTCTGACTAAAAAATCCAACTAGCTGCAACAGATATAAAACATATATGAATTCATAAATTTAAAAACAAAAAAAATATATTACATGTTGGTTAAGAACACAAACTATGACAGAATAGGTACCCCAATTTCATAAAAGTAGTTTTTTGGGAGAGATGGAAGAATGGATAAACAGAGGGCTTCAGAGTTATTTGATGTTTCGTCAACTTTACAAAATGATTTATATCATGAAAAACCTGAAAATTTTGAAACAAAAAATCAGTATCCTAAAATATTAGCTGTGAATACATTATTCTCCAATATGTTTGAAAGATTTCATAAAATGAAAGGTGATTGAAAATATACATTTTTTCTTTTTAAGTTTTTCAAATATTTAGTTTTAAGTAATCTCTACACCCAAATTGGGTCACGATCCTGAGATCAAGAGCTGCATACTCCACTGACTGAGCCAGCCAGGTACCCCAAAAACATTTTTTGCTTACTCTGAACAGTGACTGTTACCTTGACTATTTTATTAAAAATTTTCAAAGGCTTTTCAAAATCTTGTATTTAATATAGTCATTTTCTGTTGAGAATATAGTTGATAAATATTTACACTTGATTACACTTGACTATAATAAACCAGTTTTCAAAAAAAATCAAAGTGTAAATATTCAAGTTATTTCTGTTTGAACTCTGTTCTTGATAACTTCTCCAAGTGCCTCCACTTTTAAGATTTCTGTTAGTTTATTAAATTATTATTTCCTTTTTCAGAAAATTAAAAAAAAAACCTGTAGTGAATAATCCACTATGGAGTTTCATAAACTAGCAGGAAATCATGAAGAAGAATTTGTCATCCTGAAAGGTCACAGATGATAATGAGCAGAGATGACAAAATAAAGTTATACATGTGAAAATACTTTATACATTCTTGGTCATTCTTTATTTACTACCATTACTAATGATGAAAACAGTAAGAGTGTGCCTGGAATGGAAACCTACAGTGGAACACAATGAATGATTAGGTTTGAGAGAGAAAAGTGAAAATGAAGAAGGCCCTAAAAAGTAGACTGAAGAACTGAATGTTCATTCCATAAATAATTGAGAATTACTTAAAATCATGAATAGAGACTGATAGGGAGAAGTGCATTTTACTAAAATAAAGAAGTGGATCGCCAAATGATAAAGCCCTCACAGCTTTATTCCTCTGATCTCTTCACCTTTATTTACCATTATTCCACAATATAGCCCATCTACTTATCATGACTTTATTCTTTTTTCTTTCACTTTTTATTCTTCACTATACTTCTGACCTCTTTCCATTAATTCTCATCTTCTAGATTTAGATTTCCCTCTCTCCTTTCAAGAAAAATATCACATCCCTTCAAGTTTCAATATTCTTCTTAAAAACTAAAGAAACAGACAATTATAACAAAGAGGCCAGAGAGAGGACTGCCATCATTACATCTGTAACTCCTGGCTGGGACTGTGGTACAGATGCTCCCAATGGGAAAAAGAGGACTATGTCCAGAAGATATTGTGGAGAAATAATTAGCACATGAGTAGAGGGGGAAGCAAAAACCTGGGAAGTTGACTGTTAAGTTCAGAGTATGAGCCCTGAATGTCAGAAGACTGAGCCACTCATAGGACAATGGATAATTGAGAGATAAGAGAAAGCTACATTTCAACCAAATCATTTTGAAGTGACTTGGTGATATCTGATGAAACAGACCTGGATAGTAGGAAAGACAGTAGCTGGAAATATAAATGCCACAGTTATCAGATCTGAGGTGATAAAGGAAGATCTCCAAGAGATCATTTAGGGGTCGATGAGAATTAAGGTTTGAGTAGTGCGTACAGTGCACCAACAGGCGATCACTACATTTATGCAGCTTTGTGTTTGTAACATTGTGGATTACATCCAGAATCTCTTTCTTTAAAAAATGATGTAAATTGAATTGAAAAGTGAATATATATTTTTAAAGAAGCCACAATATTTTATTCTGGCATCTGATATAATTTCCACAAAATATTTTGTGGTTTGGTTAATAAAAAACCAACGAGAAAACACATGTTTATTAAAAATCTCTCTTGTTCTTGTTCTTATAAATTTAAGGAAAATATATAGCAAATATAAAAACATACCCTATTCTGAACAGCTAATAATTAGGTGGATGAGAGAAGATAAGCATACAAAACTAATGATTACACCCAAGGCCATATATATTGGGAAAAGTATTTTTTTCTTATTTTTGTTCAGTACCTGACAATCTCTCCTCTAAAATATATCTTGAAGGGGCACCTGGGTAGCTCAGTTAGTCAAGTGTCCATGATACCTGATTTCCGCTCAGGTCGTAATCTCATGGTTTATGAGTCTGAGCCTCACTCTGGGCTCATGCTGACAGCGTGGAGCCTGGGGTTCTCTCTCCCTCTCTCTCGATCTCTCCCCTGCTTGTGTCCTATTTCTCTTTCTCTTTTTCTCAAAATAAATAAACCTAAAAAAAATTAAAAATAAAAAAATACACCTTGAAGCTGTTGTTTTCTTTCTTAGTGAAGGTTACCAATCATCTTTTGCCTCAAAAACTTTGTAACTGGTCTCTGCATTAAACTTAATTTTTAAAATCTAAGAATGGAAATATAAGAGAATAAGAACAAGAAAAATTTGATGGGGAAATCTAACCTATTTTAGGCTAAGAGAAAATAAGAAGGAATACTTTGATATTCTTTCTAATGTAACCAGAAATATGCTGCAAATTTGCAAGTAAGTTGTCTACTTAACAGAAAAGAAACTAAAAATTTAAAAAAAAATGCAATCAGCAGCAATATTCTGGGTATCCATAGTATAAAGAAACCAATACTTGATAAGAAAAGTGATTAATACATTGCATATTTAAAAAGAAACATGTAAGGAACTGGTAAAATAAAGTACTTAAATATCCAAGAAAAATCAGGTTTACAGATAAATTAAATAAAAAATGAGGATCATAAAAATAGTATTTATGGAAATCTTTATATTTAACTAACAAGGTGTTAGGAATGAACTTACAGAAAATAGAATCAGTTCAGCAACAGAGCAAAAGCCAGACTGTAAAGAATTTAGGAAGAAAGGAGTTGAGATATACCAGAAAATATTAAAAAACTATCTAAGATTCAAGAGAAAAAAGTTGGGGAGTCATGGCTCTAATTTGAAGCGTAAAGAGTACTATGATTCTTTACTTTTAAAATGTCAAGAAGAATAAGCACACACACTGCATTCAATAGAAAGGACATATTTTAAAAGCAGGGACTCAACTTAAAAATGATGGGGGAAAGTAACAAAAGAAGAGCAAGAAAAGAAAAATTTTATTTCAAAGTCCAATAGTTAATGGTTAATTCATTTTTATTGAACTCTGAATCTACTAAAGGTTTTCAAAAAAGAAAGGAAGTGAATAAAATATGGAATAACTCCTTTTACATACATGAAAATTGTTTTAAGTAAAAAATAATCTTCAATAGGTAACAAAACCTGTATTATCTGTAATAATATAAATGCTGACAATGATATTTGGTATACTATATGTTTCAGGAAGATATAAATTACAAGGTTAAATTTTTCATGTAAGAAAGCTCCATATTATTTTTACAAAGTAAAATATACCTTTGTTTTCTGCTTAAATAATAAACAAAGCAGGTGTGAAATATAGCAATCTTAGCAGTGAGAACTGATCCAGTACCGTTAGCATCTCTATCTGAACTGAGAACAGAGAGGGCCAATTACATTAGAAGAATTACTTTGTACCTGGCCACTTATTTTCAAATGTTGAATTATTTTAATATTGAACATGAGTTGTTATTGATTTCATAGAGCACAAAAGCAATCTAATAAGTCAACAATCTTGTCATCTGTATCCAAAAACCAGTCATGGAGCAATTCTCATGTAAAATATAATTATAAATATGTCTGAGATAAAAATTGGATCTACTGTTTCCCTAATACAGATCATTACAAAAAAATTGTTATTATTATTACTTTTTAGCCTCTCATGCCAATTACTCTGTACAAGATTCTTAGAGGAGAAAGAGTCGCATAAATGTCTGCTAAACTTATGCCTCTAGGCATATTTTAACAGCCAGAAGAAACAACCACAAAACAGCATTTGAAATATAAGAATGAAGTACCCTAATATTCTCTGAAAAAATATAATGCTTTTGATTGTATATTATTTTTTTAGAACTTGACTGAATATCATGTAAAACACAAGGGAAAAATCGACAACTTGATTTTTTACTTCAAGGTGCTTATTATTTCATCAGAGAAATAATGAATAAAGAAAGCAGATAGATGGAAATATAAAATAGCAAATTAAAAATGTGGACATATTTTGATGGACATAGACAGGAGAAGCAGAGAAAATATTATTTGAAAGAATATTACCTTAAAGAAGAAAGGTTAGAACTTACAGGTCTTACAGAATATCCAGGAATTTGGGGTGGCTGGATCGCTCAGTCAGTTAAGCATCCAACTTCAGCTCTGGTCACGATCTTGCAATTTGAAAGTTCGAACCCCTGTAGCCTACTTTGGATTCTGTGTCTCCCTCTCTCTCTCTGACCCTCCCCCATTCACATTCTGTCTCTCTATCTATTAAAAATAAACAAACATTAAAAAAATTAAAAAAAGAATATCCATGAATTTTAGTGATAAAGAGGGGGAAATACAATCTAAGTGGAAGGAACAAAGTGAAAATAAAATTATGATGCATAGTTTCTTAGCAGTCTGATGAAGCCTGTGTACCACTTATCAGAAAGTTTAACAAGCACCAAAACTGTAAGAAAAAAGTATACATAGATACAGGAATCAAATACTGTATACTGAAATGTGGTTATTAATATTAAACAACAACAACAAAACCCCACTTTTGGCTGTAGTAATATACATACTTTTTAATTAATGTATTTGGTAACATACTAAGCAGTAGGTCTGGTGACTCTCATTATTAAAGTAATAGTGGTTTCCAAAGCCTGAACATATATGACATTTTGAGATATCAGCAACAACATTAATGATGTGAATGCCTGTTATTTCAGTTGGAGACACATAGTTGCCACTAATAATTAGTATTAACTTTCAGTGAGTATTAAAAGAAAATAAAGGTGTAACATTTTCTCCAACAACATTCATGGACCCCTTCAATTCTCTCCATGGAATCTAAATGTCCCACAGACTCAGCTAAGTCTCTGGAGAAGATAATGGAAAGCTATCATTCATTAAGTACCTAACGGGTGGTGGGGCACAGTGGCAAGTACTTCAGGTTCTTATTGCACCATGCTATAATGGAGATATTATTACAATGGCCACGGATATTTGAAAGATGAGAAAACTGAGGCTCATGCAATATTATGTAACTGCCCGGGGTCACATACATAATGATAGCCAATTGCAGGACTAAAGTTCAGAAATCAGGTTCCATAGTCCCTGCTTGTTTTTCTCACTGTGGAATCAGACCTAGAGATCAACGAATGTTCTAAATGGGCAGTTAGGAATGAACACAGCCAGAGGACAGAGTTGATTTCAAGAGTAGAGGACATATAAATGGAAGTATGGGCCAGGACCAGACTTTTGGAGGGTTCTAAAATCTTGCAAAGAGAAATAAAGTAAATATTTTGGAGAGTACAAAACAAGCCTTTAGGGAGGATGATGATGGAAGTAGCATTTCAGGAAGGAAGAAAATCATCTGATGGACCGTAATTACAAGGACTACGGTAATATACTCTGTCCAGATTTTTGGAGTAGGTCTAAAATGACATATTATTGTACTAAAATGCCTTATTTAAAATTAGTTGAATCCTTTTATTAATTCACTAAAGGTGTTTTTGGATTAGTTTCTCAAGACCTATCCTTTTTTTAAAAATGTATTTTTATTTCTGAGAGAGAGACAGAGACTGAGCGTGAGCAGGTGAGGGTCAGAGAGAGAGGGAGATACAGAATCTGAAGCAGGTTCCAGGCTCTGAGCTGTCAGCACAGAGCCTGACACGGGGCTCCAACCCATGAACCCTGAGATCACGACCTGAGCCTAAGTCAGACGCTGAACCAACTGAGCCACCCAGGCGCCCCTCTCAAGATCTATTCTTAAAGATAGCAAGATACACAACACACAAAGATCAGAAAAGCACTTGCTATTCTTCAATCTAATGAAACACACATCTACTTACCGACACTTGTGCAACTTTCACCGTCCACGTCCAGCTTCCACCCCTCATAGCATGAGCACTTGACTGTGTGCTTGTGCTGCTCACACACTTGACTGCACTTCAGATGATGGCTACAGTAATCTATAATTTCACACGTTTTATTGTCTTTGCTTAGTTGAAGTCCTTCAGGGCAGGAACAGACAATTCCTCTTCCAGGAACAACAGAACAATGATTGCTACAGCCTCCATTGTTCAGTGAACATTCATCTATAAAAGGAGGGGAACAGATTACAGAGCATTATCAATTGTTTTGCTCAATTAAATACTAATCATTGAACTCCATTCTCTAAGGCTGGAATTATAGCAAGGATATTATAAATGAATACAGAAAAGCTGTCTGGATTTTTTTTCCCCCAGGGATTGGGGTAAGCATGATAAAGTAATTCATCGAATAACCAAATCCTATATGATAGAAACTGGGAATGGAAACTTTTCATTTCTCTAGAACCAGAGAGTACACTTTGCATTGCCCCATAATGTAAAGTGTGTTCAATGTTTCTTTCTATTATTACTGGAAAGATTATGCTGAGCCTTTCAGCAGTTATGCAAGATCAGTTGCTAAGGCCTCCTCAAAGGACATGCATTGATGATCTGAAAACCTGACTTATCTCAGTGTTTATAAATAAACAGGCATATACATATATGTATAATAATTACACATGTTTCTATCTATAGTCTGATTTATAATGATAATGCAGGATGGGTTAGTTTGCTCTTTACTGGCTAGAGCCATTTATTTTTAAGTTAGGTAAATTACACATTCTGCCCTATATATGGGGTATTATTAATTCAATGAAGCCATGAAAGCATAGTAAATAATGTACATACACACACACACACAAAAAGTTGACTTGGTATTTTAACTAAAACAATGAGAAACTAGTATTTATTGCATGGATAATACAATTGGTTTATAAAGAAAAAGACCTTTTCTTTCATGGTGCATATAATTGAGAATTGCATTAGATAAATTTATTTCAGTTCTATTACATTATGAAATGGTAAGCTCCATGAAGGTATACAAAATATCTGTTCTGTTTAGCAGTGTGTATCTAATAGCTGGCATAGTGCCTAGGGCAAATAATGGCTGAAGTAACAATATTTGTTTAATTATTTAAAACAATGAGGCAGCACACAGCTGCCAGCACACAGCATTGAGCCAGTTCTTGTCCAGTTGGGAAAATTTCAAGATGACATACTTATGCCCTTGATGACAAGAGCACATACCTGTTTTCTCAACCACACTATTACCTATCCCTGTGTATTATGTGCATAGAAATGAGGCTAAAAGAAGCCTTCCCTTCATTTGCTCTAAACATATTTTAACTAGTTTTCAAAGCCCATTTAATTAGTTGTTTTTTGAGATATGCTGAAAGAGAATGTTGTTCAATGATTGGCAAATTGCAGTAACATTTACTTTTAAACCTCAATGTTTCCAGCTGCCTATGAAAATGTATATAGTTCAAAAATTGAGCTTAAATATAACACTTTTATTATCTACATTTTTTAAAGTTCTATATGGGCCAACTCTTCTTCATATTATTTGTCACCATAAAAGAAGTTACAGTAATAAGAAAAGGAAGATGATTACATTAACTTTTCTCTCAGAATTCAAGTTTGGTATTATTTTAGAAGAAAAAAATAGAGTCATTTAGCTCCTCCAAATATGTTTGTTCACCCATAATTGTAATCATTTCAAAACAATGGTCATTTTAAAGTATTTGGCCCATTTTAGTTCAATTGACATTCTTTTTCAAGAGAATTACGGTAAAGAAATGTCATCATACCCAGCAGGTGAGAAACAATTGTTACAGTTCTTTTAGTTTATTTCCAATATAACCATTCTCATAGTATTGAAGTGTCTCTTTCTGACATTGTCTGTGGAATTAAGTCATTGATTTAATAAAATAAAATTTACATTGAAATCTAAAATTGAATATATAACTTTAATGCCAATATTTGTTTGGCTAGTCACTTATTAATTCCTCCTTTGCCCTAAACCTGTCATCAAATCCTACAACTTTCTTTCACATTTTTTTATTACCTAAAAAATAATTTCTCATTGACCTAACTCTAGTCAGCCTCCTCAGAGCCCTCTGTTCAACTGGTCTTCAAAAATAGTTTATAAAAACTGTATACCCTGAGTACAAATAATTTCAATAATTTCAATTCCACTTTCTTCCTCAACCATACTGCTCTGACCAAAAAACACTAGCATAGTTTCAAAAAGCTCAGGACAGCCTCCCTAGCATGACTCTAGCCCTGCTTCAAGTGCTGGGTTGGGAAAGCTCTATGTTGCCAGGGAAGTGTGCTTTTTGTTCCAGCCTAAACCTGGTGATAGGCAGACAGGCCCCTGCACCCCATTTTAGAACAATTACTTTAGAAAGCTTGTGAGTATAACTTTTTCTTCACCTTTAAGATGTAAATCTTCAACCACCCGGAACCATCTTCTTAAGGACTTGAGAAATATCTTTGAACTGCAAACATTCAACCAGATAACTCTCTCACTCTTGTTCCCAGTTATGCGTACCTTGTTCTGACTTGTATGACTGTCTCAAGTCAAAGATCTGAAAAACGTATTTCTCCTCTGGGATAAGCACCAGTTAACAAACCCAGATGGCCCAGTCACAAGGACCAGCCCCCCTACCCTTCCTATGTGCTTTTCCCTTAGCATACTCCAGGCTTCAAAATAGTTCCAGTCTTTTGTTTCAGTGATGTTGATTTCAGTTCATGCTGAATATTCTATTCAATTCTTGCAATAATTAATACTGAATAAAAATCAAACCTTATCACTTTAACTAGTGTCCAGCTTTGTTAATCTTTGACATATCCTTAGAGCAAGGATCAACAGTTAACTTTATTCTTGAATGATTCAAGATTTTTCTCATTTGTTTCTTAAATGCATATCCCTTTCTCCTTGAAATCAGTTGAAAATCTCCCTGAGAAAATAATCTCTTCCCTAGGATTAGAAAACATATTTTACTGAGTGCTCCTTTTCACCTTTTTGTTTATGTTATCATTTGTTTTGATTTATAAATCAGATTTATTTAGAGGAAACAAAACAAAAAATACCTTGCTACCCAAAGGGTAGGATTTTTCCATCTCAAGACATCACCCAAGTATTAAATCTATAGATTGCAAATGATTTTCATGTAAGATATTTTTTACATGTACTGAGGAACAGGACATGAATCACTTCCTATTTCTTCTTTAATAGACAGGGTATGGGAGGATTTAAAAAAAAAACCAAAAAACAGGTTTTTTGAAGGGCACCTGAGTGGCTCAGTCAGTTAAGCGTCTGACTCTGATTTCAGCTCAGGTCATGATCTCACTGTTTGTGAGTTCAACCCCTTCTAGGATCTCTCTCTCTCTCCCTCTCTTTCTGCCCTTCCCATGCTCTCTCTCTCTCTCTCTCAAAAATAAATAAATAAACTTGAATAAAAAAACAAACAAAAAATAGCTTTTTGAATACAACTATTCATAAGGAATGGACGTGAAGTGACAAAACCTACTTTTCATCATCTATAGCAAATGGTTTAAGAGAGGAAAAAAAAAACTTCTTTCAGCTTTGGGTATTTCTCTCTCAAAAAAAAAAAAATTTCCTAGCTACTCATCAACCCATGCCAATTATTTAAAATTAAATCACTGGGTATATTTTTTCATGTCCACTGGGTAAATGTCTATTATGCCCATTATGACATAGAACTCATAAACCAATAATCCTATCCAGCTAGACAGGATCTAACCTATGACTGATAGGCATAGGCCTTGAAAATAAGACACCAAGGTTCATTTCTCTACAGATACCAATATTGCCTATAAGGATACATATACCAAGCTACAGTATGAAGGTACCTGGAAAAGGAGGACCATGTAAGGCAGTTCAGTCTTCAAGTAGACAAAGAAATAAATTCAGAAGAAATCTCTGTTGCTCTTTTATAAGACTAATTTAGAGAGCAAAGGATAGGAAAATAAGGCTGTGTTTTCATAACATTCTTTTCATTTTTCTTAATGACTATATTTGCTTTTCCTCATCTTTTATTTACTTCATTTAATCTGAAGGGTGAGGAAATGTGGAAAAGCACTAAATTCTTTCAATATCTTTAGTGCACCTGGCATTATTAATATCATTTCCCGATAAATATCATCTCATTTTTGTTATGAACAATCTGACATTTCCAGAAATTAAGTTATCTTCCTACGTGATTTAATCGAAGTAACTGAAGAATAGAATTTAATTCTGCCAAATTCTCTCTTTTTCTATATTTACATATTCTTAGTTTTAAAAGTATTGATAGTCTCCTTCTTTCAGAATTCCTCTTACCACCCTTCATGAGCAATCCTCACATATTGTAATGCAAGAGATATTTTCATCACCAATTTCCTCCATAAAGGAGAATAAGCTGGGAGAAGAACTACAGATGAACTAAATCTGTCTGTCACCTTGTATTTGTTATTTAATTTCAGTGGGTTTTTTGGGGGGAGGGGAATGTGGGTGGGGATTGAAACATCTTATTGAAATTTAGCAACACTGGATGAAGACTGCTGCATTTATTGTTTCAAGGTTATTTTACAGAATCACAGAGTTTTTGGAAGAAATGACATTTATCACATAAATTTAAAACAAAGTGAGTATTTTTTCTATCACTCAGTATTCTACTAATGCTTAATTCAGATCAAAATATGATAATAACTTTAGGCTTAAACGTAGTTGTCTTTTCTACTTTCAATTAGGTAGCTTCATCATTTCCTAAAGTCATTTTCTCAGAGTCCCCAGTCATCTCATTATTGTTCTTATCATTCTGTAAACTCTTCTTTATTACTCTATTGATGTCACCTTCAGTATTATCTAGAAAACATTTTTTGAAAATCTCCTTGCTAAATGTCTGATCTCCCCACAGAGAAGGAAATGTAATTTTCTTTATATGTTCTAGTCGGCATAAAAAGACAACTAGTCAAAAGTAATTTCAAAGCTCAAAAGCTATCAGATTGAAATAATCATTTTAACTAGATAAAGCATACCAAAAAAGCTACTGCAAGAGGACTAAAAACTTTAGAAAAAATTATATAAACTTGAATAACATTCAATTGATTTTGTTATTTAATCTCTTCCTTTCCTCTTTTTTTAAAAAAGAAATATTTCTATTGTAATAATTAGGAGGTGTGATAAAATCCATTGGGTGGTAGTAAACGCCATCCCACAGGTTGGTAATAAGAAGGCTCTCTTGTTTTGAATGACTCACTGACAAAAAATAATCAGTTTAATTGTGGAAACAGCACTAACATTCAGAGATCCAATGAAGAGCGCAACTATACATTTAAGTTGGTTGGATATAAGCCAACTTTTTCTGCTTTAATTTTAGAAATTTATGATCATACTTCAAAATCTTTTAATAGACTAGTAGTCTATTAAAATACAAGACAGGGTTCAACGCTAAAAGTTATATCTAAAGGAAAGAAATGGAAAGAACATATGCTACTATAATAAATATCAGCAAGTGTACTAAACATTTCTAGTCTCCAGAGAGAAGCACATCAGTGAAATATGCATTACCGCAGAGATCGCCTTCGTCAGACCCATCAGGACAATCTCTTCTCCCATTGCAGAGTTTCTCTGGCTGCAGGCAGGCTGAAGTGTCATTAGCACAAGGGTATTTGGGTGGTCCACATAAAAAACTGTCACAGTCATCTTCATCTGACTGATCTTCACAATCAATATCTCCATCACATATCCATGCTTTGTTGATGCATCTCCCTTAAGGAAACAGAAATATCATCCATTAAATTGTTGTAATTAAGTCACTGTAATAATGAGGAGTCAATGCTGCCTTTAGTCAGAGGTAGAACTACTTGCTATTAGCAAGAAATGTATTTGCTGATAGTTTGACAGTTTATTTTCCCGAAGGCATTTGAACAGCTCTTGCCCTATTTGTTAAAGTGATCTTAGCATTAAACTCTTAATATTTTCCTTGATTTCAAGTTATTAGTCTGACCCTATTAAAACATAGTCTGTGACTAATTGAAAGTTTAATTATAATACTTTTAAAAACAAACTTTAAACAAATGTTTGTATAGAAGTCCCTTCAGAGTCCTAAACTCAGGTAAATGTTATCAGTATCTTTCTTAACCTAAATTTAAGCAAATGTTTTATTTCACAGGAGAAAATGTCCTTTTGTTTACATTTATAACCTTAAGACCTCAACTTCTCCTCATAACTAGACATGTATATTCCCTCTCATAAAAGAATATAAATGCTTTTAAACTTTTTAGTAGCTGTACTAAATGCAGGCAGATTTTATGGAAATATGGTTTTCTTTATTGATTTTGAAAGAAAAAATGATTGTTGTTTAGCCAGCCTTTTTAAAATTAATAATATGAAATACAAAGAAAGCAATGGTCATGTCTATGTAAACTTTTTTTAAAATGTAAATTATTCCTCCTTTCCAGGATGTTTACATTTTTCTGCTAATTAATTTATCTTTTCTGGATTATATAATGTTAAGGTATAATGTAAATTAAAAACATATCTGAAAATAAATACTAATTCTTAGCTGACTATATACCCACAACTCATAAAATGAGTTGGGCAAATGAAAAGGAAATGAAAAATATTAGACTGTATATGTCAAAGAGTCTTTATATATTCAGAAGTTTGCTACAACCTAAATTTTAAAATAATTAAACTATTGGTGAGAGGATTTTTCATTTGCAGAAATAGATAAATAAGCTTCTATACTATTAAGTCAAATAAGAAAGAATACAAATTATATTCCACAGTTCCATAGTTAATATAAATGCATTTCATAATCAATATTCATTATAGATGAAAACATTCTTAATATAGGAAATGATAGATGTTCTATGGATCAATTTAATATAAATGGAGATACATTACATATTTTTGCCTTAACATCATCAATAAAACTAATGATGTTAGTATTTATTTTGTTTTGTAAAGACTATCTAATATAATTAGATAACAAAAATAAATGAGGTATAAAATTAGAAAAGCATCATTACATGCAGTTAATATAATCATATAATTTTAAAATCAATAAAAACTAATTAAGAACTGTAAGAAACTAAGAATTCAAAAAATTTGATAGTTTCACATATTATACAAAAAAATCCATAGATTTCATACCTAAAAAGAGACTATAGTAAAAAGGAAAGATGGATTTAAAAATTCAACATAAAACACAGTATTTAGGCTAAGCTGCATAAGATTTCTATAGAATTTATATGAAGAAAATTTAAGAGTATTCAAAGAAACCCAAAAGAAGTCTTGGATATAGTTTGGTCTTAAAGAAGATTCATTAATTAGTAATAATTGATATAATCTCAATAAAATAGAAACAATATTATTACAAACCTGTAAGTATATCCTAAATTTAAGAAAATAAAATTGCAAATATCATTTGGAGTCCTCAAAAAAAGAAAGGATAATTGATGAGTAGGAAAGGTTAATGCCAAGTATTTAGAACTATTTTAAAATAGCAGTAGTCAAAATATTTTTAACAGAATATCATTCAGCATATCAATAATTCAATAGGATAGAGAGGTCACATAATAATATGCATAGTATATGGTTTTAATATATAAAATTGGCTGTTCAAATAGTAGAGATAATGGAAATCCAAATTTGGTGATGTTAGGAAGATTGCTTAGCCATCTGGAGGAAAAGAAATAAAGCTGAATCTTGATCCTTACACTAAAATATATTCTAAGTAGATTGAATAGTAAGCATTTCATAATAACAATAATAAATACACACATGTTCTAGAATGAAATAGATATAAAACAACAAAATCTTGAAATGTTCATTACACAAACCCAGAAAACATAAAGGACAAACTGATAAACTCAATTTCATAAAGATTTTTGATTCCACTTTGCAACATTATAATCCATACACAAATTCAACAAGTGGTAAACCAGAAAAATATTTTATTTAGAAAAAAGGACATTTTTCTTTAAAATACAAAAGGTCTCTTACAGATAAAGATCAATATACCAATACAACTGCAAGATTCCTAATGGATAATGACTTAGAAACATAAGATGATGAAAAATACCTTTCAATCAAAATAAAACTAAAAAAGCAATTTGATACCATTTTTTCTTTACTAAATTGACTTAGATTAAAAAATTGGAAAATATAAGGATAGATTTGTCAAAGGTGTAACATCTCCAATGTTTGAGTTTTCTAAACGGGAACAACCTGTAGGGAAATGTTATACATTCCAGTAGATAAAAAATGCAGCAACTCTTCACAGCAGTATTTTTAATTTTAGAATAAATTTTTTTATCAATAGATTTGCCCAAAGGTGAGATACAGAAGCATGTGTTGCTGCTTTCTATATATTAGCAAAAGACTGACAACAATTTAAATCAAAATCACAAGACTGGTGATATCACTTACAATGTATCTACACATTGAAGTTATACACGAGTGAAAAAGAATGTTAATATAAAACAATTTCCCAAACTTATCAATAAAAAAGGCACAAAAACAAGCTATGGTAAAATGTATTTAATTAGGACTATATTTCCATACACATATCAGTATAAATATCAGGACAGTTTTGTCTCTATGCTACATAATAGCGTACAGTCATTGTCTTTGGTGAGGAAGACTTGACATACTGGAAATGTAGAGTGGGAGAGCAGGATTTTTCAATGAATCCTTTTGTGCTATTTATTTTCCTTCTATCATATTTCTGCATAACTTTTCCAAAAACAAAAACAAAAACAAAAACCTAGCTCATTTAAAAAATGATGGTGATAAAATGTATATACATGTGCCATATAATTTGATAGTTTCTATGAATGTATTTTATGAAAATTCTATAATTTTCTGTGACTTACACTTCCCTTGCAATTTTAGGAAGTACGAGAAAGTCCTAAGACTCTTTCCCTGCCAGTAAAGAATTTATAATCTAGTTAGGAAGACAAAGTCAATGCATAGCATATAATTTTACTCTAAATTATGGCATTCTGTCTTAAGTATAAAATTGTAGGGGGTCATCTGAAAGTATAATAGAATGAAAGGAGTCATTCTATTTCTGGTTTGGTAAAGTCATTCTATTCCTGGTTTGGTAAATCAAGATGCAACTTTTTTTTTCCCCCAGCCATCACTAATCCATCATGATATTCTTAACCACTGACTCCAGCATAACCTTAGAATTGTTTCAACAAATCTGTCTATAAACCATTATCAATCTTTTAGAGTCAGAACAGCAGTAAAATCTATTTGCTATCCCTGACCTAAAAGGTGCCTCGAAAAGGTAAAGAAAAAAATCGTATTCAAATGAGTATTCATTTTAACTCAGATTATGCTACCAGATACATATATACATATGGGTACATTTTTGAGATAAAATTTACAAGTTTAAATAGCTCTCTCCTCTCTCCAATTTTATAGGGGATGTTTGAAATGTAATTGCTTCTCTCTTTATTTGTTTGGTTTTAATTCTTATAAAAAACGTAGGTATGAGGGTATACAAGGTTAGAAGTTTAAATGTCCAATTTATGACCATTAATTGGGTAAAACCTGATAGCAAATGATCTTAGTAAGTATGCTTAAAGAATGTTGATTTTTACTTGATTCAAATTAAGACAAATCCTTACATAGTCATCATTGGGTGTAATATTTTGAATAAAGAAATATTACAGATTTCCTCATTAAAGGTTCCTCCTTTATATATAAGAAACTTGAGACTTAGGGCAAATTTGTATGAAATACAGATTAGTAATATTCAAATGTGTTATAGAAATTATAAATTTCCAATATGTAAAAACCACAAATCTTTAACAATAATTTTTAAATGTTTATACTTAAGTTCAAATAACTAAGTCAATTATTATACTTTAAAAATAACATGACATGCTAAAAATAATATTAGGTGTTTATTATTAAGTTCAGTTTTACATAATCTTTTCTGATCTGTTTATAATGACATTTTCAACCTATTACTATGTGTACACAAATGTTATGGAAATTGTAGTTTTACCCTCTGAGCAAAGAGAATAACAATAGATAAGTAACAAAGCAGCAACATAAACAGAAGTAACAATCAGCATCTTGGGATCATGAAAATTAGAGAAATCACACACATGTGTAAACACACACACATACTCTGGATATTATAAGGACTTTTATTTGTGGTATCCTTAAATTTATAGTTTAGGATAAAGGCCAGTACAAAGTCAACACATACAGGGAAATTTAGAATTTCTGGAATCATTAGAAAGTGTGATGTTTTTCCAAAATAAATTTATATGACCAATCCTAGAGTTTCACTTCCTCTGTTAAATTGTTTTGGCCATTAAAAAAGTAGATTTATGATTTTGTAAACTGCTTGACACATTTTTATCTTAATAAAAGACATTATATGTTATAACAGGATAATTTCTATCCTGGGATGATTGGCAGTTAGTATTAAGAATATGATCATGAAGAGCAATGAATCTTTGAGAAAATTCAAGTGATTTGCTCAATAACATAATGTCATTTTGAAAAGTGGCCTTTGAATTGCAATCTTAAAAGAAAATTTTACTACTAACCTTGAATACTACATACATATTTATTTATTTCTCTAACAATGTTTGGCTTCAATTCAATTCAGTAATTATTTTTTAGTATAATGTGTTTGTCTAGCTACTGACCAATGTGGAAAGATAGGAAAGACAAATTCCTGCTCTTGTGGAGTGATAAGTCTAGTATTGATAAATGTTCTACTATTTAATATATAA